CAAAAGGAATGCGATATCCTTTGGCTATTTGGTCCCCTCTATCAACCAGATAATGATCCTTTCATGGAGGACGATGATGACAAGACCTTGGTCGGTACTCCGCCAGGTACCTGCTGCCCAAATTCACCTGCCTTCGGTCCCATGTCAAACTCCTTTGACACTCCCGTTGGCTCTCCCACTCCTGGCAGCTCTCCATCGCTCTATATCAAACCCGCTCTTAAGAAGCCGGTTGAACATGACCCCTTGAAGGATCTCATTTCCTACGCCTGTGAAATGATGTTGGCGAACCCCGATAATCCAAACGGACAGAAGATTAGAAGGCGTACCACCTCTCATCCGATGGAACCTAAGCAAAAGAAAAAGTCCATCAGATTTTCTCGTAACTTGGAGCAAGTTCACTACACTCCCACACATTATACAATACAACCGCCTCCTCCCCCTACGCGGCGAAGGATGAGTAACCCGTTCTTCATGAAAACGGATGAGGACGGCGTGGCCGAAGGTTACGACCAAATGTTTGCCAGAGCCAAGGAATCCAAGAATTCCGGAAAATTTAGCTTGCCATACACCAAAGATGGTTCTTGGATTGGTGGAAGTCCTCATGATGACGAGGATGACGAATTTGTGATGCCACCTCTTCCCCAATTGGTTAGGTCATCGCCGAGACATATTCCACGTGGGATGCCACAACGCAGATCAAGTGCCATGCCTGCGGCTTATACTGTTGCCGCTGCCCGAAGATTGGTGTCACCTCCGGCCCCGGTCATTGGTGCGCCACGCAGCGCCATTGAGGTCAAACATGTAACCAATAAGAGAGTCGATCATGAAACAGGGGATTCAGGAGTTGTGGAACGATGTGTGAATATTGCATCCAATGTAAAAGATGTTGTGAGTTGGTGTGGTTCCATGCTATGGAATACCACCGTTTTCTAAAAATTCCCAAACAATGACCATTTTGGATGGAGGAAAAGGGATAAAAGGGCAGCCTTCTCCTTTTTCTTTCAAAAATTAAGCAAAAGGTCCACAAGGCCTTTTCTCATACCCTTATACTTGAACATTTTTTATTTAATTCAAATTTATTTTTTTTTCACGGTCTTATATTCTATAATGAGTATAGTTGTAATGGACAATTATCAATTTGGGTTTTCTTTGGATGTTACCACCACTCACCAACATATAGGACACCATGTACTATATGTATATTCCTTCGCACAGCTGTAGACTCCTTCTACTCTCGTGCACTTATTAATGACAACCTCTTCCTTCGTTGGTATATATATACCACGCACATCCCTAAATACCTTATTACTACCATAGTGTATAGTAGGTATAACGCTACGCACCTTTACTTCGTCGCATTATACCCAAGACCATATATACACTGCTCCTTCGGGTATGCCGGCGGCATAACCCTAACCTTCAAAAAAAAAAAAAAAACTCCTCATTACACACTTACATGATTATTACCTTTTCTTAAAAATGTGTTTGTGCTTTACCTTCGAAAGTTTCTACTCGCCTTTTCCACGCAACGATTTGCGTGCGAATGTGTTTGTGACGTTTTTATTGTCTATTCCTACCTATTAATTTATTCGACAAATGATACAACCGATATTATTCACGATAGTTTTCTCTTTCCATTCAACAATCATCGCATCTTTACTTTCCTGCATTATTTATTTGTTTTCGAAAGAAAAAAAAAAAAACCACCTCCCTTTTCATTATAAAATGAAAAGCTCGCTCTCGCGAAATATGACCACCCCACTCCTTCTTTCTGCGTTCGTCCGTTCGAAGGTGTGAACGAAAGGAAAGGAGAAGTTCTTCACGAAAGCTTTACACGCACGCCTAACTCACAGGCACACACGGCTGTGTTCTGTATTAAAACGAGTTGTCCCTACGCTAAACAACTGGAAAGACACACTCCTTAGGGTCTTTGAATACTATTGAAGCTGGTCACTGCGAGGGGCGTTTCCTAAAGATGTAATCAACCGCAAGTCACTGTCGATGGGCCTAAGCCTAAGTATCGCCTGGAAATATCAGTCAACACATAATATTCCTTTAATATTATATGGACCTCTATACTTATCCCATATATATAGTCCACCTTATATATATACACACATATCTATTATCTTTATCAAAACATTATTCATTATATTATTATTATATTTCCGAGTCGATATGATGAAGTCATAAAGCTCGGCACACTGTGCAAATGTATTCTCTGACGAAGAAACGAACCTGCACACGGAGCTAGGTTTCCTAGACTTTTCGCAGCATGTCGTTTTTCCATTTTTTTTGTCGTGAGGCCACCTTATTTTTTTCTCAACACCGTCTTGTGTGGTTGTAGTTTAGTGAGTGATGTGAGGCCTTTGCTTTAGGATTTCGAATTTCCTTTTTTCATCACTCTTGAACTCACGATTCGTAGAAGAAGGCAGGCAAGATTTCCCGCCGACTTCCAACTCGACATCATGAATTTTTACACAAAATATACCAAAATTAAGATTCAACAACAACAACAACAATTAAGCCTTTATCCGCCCTTAACGTCTTGACGTTAAAATTATGATAATTTAATTTATTACACCATTCAACGTATAGCATTTCAATTACATTCCTCTTTAATTCCAAAATTCGAAATTTTTTTGTTTGTGTTTGTGATTTCCTCAAATTTTATTCATTCATCGTTCATCCTTAT